TGCATGTTTAAGAGCTGACTGGAACTAGAGCTAACTAGAGCTAGAGCTGTTGAAAAAACCATTTTGTACGAGACTTCCTTCCAAAGTGCATGTTGAAGAGCTGACTAGAACTAGAGCTAACTAGATCTAGAGCTTTTGAAAGTCGGTCACGGAAGTTTTGCACCCTAAACTTCTTTTGATGAGTTCTTGATATTTCTTGCCTCATCTCGTTTCAGACTTCATTTGGTTTTGTTTTTTCACACGTTGCTTTGTGCTATTTGTGCTTTGCTCAGCATCTAGCAATCAGACAATGTGCTTTCCTCATCTCGGCTCAGTTCCCCCTTGCATGTTGCATCTCATGAGACTCTCATGTCTCGTTTGTTCGCAGTTCGGAGAGGGAAAAACTGTTGAAAATCCGGCCATTTTGCTGTCACCTGACACCTAGCTCGTCGCATTTGTTGTCTCACCCATTTGCTCAAGAAGCTTCACTTCCCTCCTTTGTTTGTTATTTTCACCAGGTATCGGGAAGATATAGATAGAGCTGGGCGTGCTTACTTCTAGGACTCTTTCTGTCACCCTACTCAAGTCTTCTCGTGAGCAAACTATAGATTCCCGGCTTTCGAGTGCCAGGTGTGCTTGCGCATTTCATTCATTTCATTGAATCGAGAGTTGTCGAGTGAAGTTCAGAAGTGTAAAGTTGGCCATCCCATGTCTTCTACACGGGTGTAAACTGTCAAAATCGTGGGCACAGGCTGATGTCATTTCCACAGCGTTGCAAAACTGCGCGGATGAGTTGCTGGAGGCGACCGAACCAAAATTAGAGTTGTGAGTTGTTCCATCTCGACATTTAGATTCACATGGAAACCTTCGGTTTTCTATGCGACCGGATTTGACGCTTTCATGAGTGCCGAGTACCCACAAGGCTGGCTCAAAGCCTGGCGCTGTTTTTTGCCCAGACAGCAAGCATTTGGGCACCTTCGGAGAGGCAGTGGGCTTTACCTTTTTTGGAGTGTTCTGACCTGTTCAATTGTTCAGTATGTTCCGGTCGCATGGATCACATAGACACTCAGCATCTCTCCTCCATTTTTCTTCGTCACTGAGGAGAAGGCACGCTGCTTGACAGAGCGGGTGTTGGCGCAGACTCTGAAGGTCTTCATGCCACAAGTGCGTAGGCTGGGAACTGCAGCATGATGCTGGACAAGAGAAAAATATGAGCAGATTATATATACAATTACTTGCTTGTTCCGTGCTTGTTTCAATCCATTTGAATGGGCTACGCGGCTATATGTTTTTAGATTTGAGAAGCAAACCTTGGAGCCAGAAAGAGGTTCTTTAGAAAGCTTCAGGCTGTTCCAAACTTTCTCGCTTCTCTTTCTTCTCGTCCCTTCCTCGAGGTGGTCGGGGCTTGGTCCCTGGGAGGTGGTCGCTGCCGGCGGTCTGGGCGGCGCTGTTGGCATCCTGCAGAGCTGCCATGAATTGCCCACCGAGGCGCCCAGTGAGGCACAGCTGCTCGTGCTTGAGACCATGACCGGCTGGGAGGAGACGACACTCGACGTTTTGTGGCACACAAAAAGCACATCGTTTTGTGGTCATGCTAGGTCTTTCGATGTTCTTTTTTGGTTTTTTGACTGCCGTGACTTGTCAGATGTTGAAAGTGGTCTGCAGGACATCCCGGCCAACATCAACGCAATTCTGCTGCCCGCAGGTCAAGCAGTTGACACCCTGTCCCATGTGGCAATTCGGGCCCGAAACCAGGAGGTCGGGGTGGGTCAGGTGGGTCACTTCTTTCTTCATCCCGAGGCTCTTTAACGGCGCCCCCATGCTAATTTTGCCATTTCGTCGCATTTGGTAATTTTGCCTGTTTACTCTTCATTTTCTTGACAGCCGACTCAGAAGCTTTGGCAGGTTCTCCTGGCAAGTTGCGATGAAGAGCAACAACTCCAAGAGCTGCGCAAGCTTCAGGGACAAAACCTTCGGCTGCAGGAACCTTCGTCTGCACAAATCGGTGAGAGATTCGGCAGTCAAGCGGCATCAAACCGGCAACGTTTGTTTCAACATTTCGCTCACGCATCACCGAAGACAAGAGGTTGAATCGTAAGGACTCAAACCGAAGAAACACAATTGGAAGGTTTGGCAGGACCCAAACCTTTTGTAGAAAACAAGTTTCATGGAGTTCCACAAGGTTGCGCAAAGGAAATGCACCATTGTTTGCTGAGGTCTCTGCCACTGGCGAAGTGACATGGACGGCTACGAGCGAGAAGTCTAAGCTGAAGGATAGCCACTTGGATCAGTTTTAAACTAGAAGTTTCAGGCTTCCGGCTAACCAGCATTGGGTTTTGGGGATCAACGGATATTTAATGTTGTTCGGAATGAAATGTGATGCACAAAGTCTTGTGGTTGCATCAGCTCCATTATCATGCAAATCGCAGAGCCGGAGCCAATGATGATGCAAAGCCAATGCACGGATTGATTGCTTGGGGGAAGAACAGACCACTGCCCCACGCAGACCTTTTGGGGTAGTGCGTTTGAAGGGCCTCGTGCAAAGGAGAGGCTCGTTGGCCACTAGTCCCTTCTTGGTGATTTCCTCGTGAAGATGGAGATGAAGTGGTGGTGACACAACAGTTGCAGGGGGAATTCGGCACTGGGTTGTGCAATTGATTTGTGTACACAGCAAAATTAGCGGTTTTGCCCATGTTTGCGGTAAGGCAAATGTTGGTCCCAAGACCTGGCCGCTTCATATCGACCATTTGCAATTTTAGAGATTGCGTTTCTGTGCAGTTTCACGTCGACAGCATTTGATCCTTCTCCGCCTCAATAGCCCTGCAATTCATCTCAGCACTCGCGGCACGATCTCAGTCAAGGACCATCAATGTGTTTGTTCGATGTTCATTTCTACAATCCCGTCGCTCAAGACTTCATGCGTCACATGTGTTTGCTCATTCAAGACGGATTGAACACCACATTCTCATTGATGTCTTGCACCGGCTGTCATGTCATTTGTAAACCATGGTAAACCCTTCTTAGCCAATTGGACGTTGAGCATAAGAAAGAGTTTGTGTTCTAATATAGTTGTTCTTTAAGGTTTTGTGGTCAATGCCCCCTGAACCTCCCAAAGATTGAGGCAGCGCGGCAGCCTTTCTCGCAGATGCCCGGCAGTGTTTAGGGCTTTTGGTAACAAAGTTGGACGAATGCAGGACGGAAAGCAATTGCTGCAAGCGGCTTGCTGCAAGTCTTTGTGACGCAAAGCAAACCATGCAGCCACTCTGAGGAAACCATGCAGCCTCCGCCGCCGCCGCCAAGTGCTGTTTTGAAGGCCAGCGACTTCACCAAGAACCCGAAGTCCATCGGAGGTGCCACCGAGTGCGGTGAAACTGAACGCGAAGTTGAAGGCCACAACCATGTTTGGATCATCTTTGTTTCGCTTTTAGCACTTTCGCTCTTTTAACGTGTGGAGGGAAAAGCCTACACCTTGCAGAGTTGATGGCTGACGGCACGTGAGCCCGGGGAGCGACTTCATCGACTTGGATATACGGTGTTCATCGGTTATGGACTTGTTTTCAATTTGCATTTTGAATTTGACAGTTTCAAACGATCAGATCTTCAATCGTGCGTCAATTCGAATTCAGACGACTACCAATCAAAACCGATTTCTGAATTTCTAGGCCGTTTTAGGCAGGTTCCATGAGAAATGGCACAGATGTTAACGAACACAGGGCTAGGTAGAGCGTAAGGGAGCCCATTTGACACCATTAGTTGGAGTGCCAAAAAGGCGGCATGTAGCACATGGCTTTAGCACGATGGTTTGGTAGAAAGGCTTATTTTCTCTTGTTTGTAAGCTAATAGCGATGGCCTCCACGGTACTTTAGCGATGGATGCGATGGCCTCCAACCTACCGATAATTGTTTCTTTGTAGAACGACAGACTTTTCCCGAACGTTGCATACTACATGCTCTCTTCTTGTGCAGGTACCGCGTCCCTACGAGTGCAACTATTCCTTATGGCCACTTGGATGTTGACAAACTGTTCATTCGATGCGTCAAAATTGTCGCTCATTTTTTTTTTACGTTGCGTTTCACCCTGGTGGAGGCATCGTTCCGTTTGGACTAGCGGTGTGCCCCGAGAGATTTGGCTAGAAATTCCATGGATCCGTTTGAGGATATTCGTTGGAAGCCCGCTCTCAGTGATTCCTCCCAGAACCTCACCTGAAGCACCTGACATTTCTCCGTTGTCTTGACCCCAGGAATCTTTGAGCAGGCTCTCAAGGACAAGGCGCTTTGTCCAAATCATTCACAAGTTGAAAAGTCCGAACGTGGAAGGTTTGGTGTCAGTTCGCGTTTCAAGGCCAACGAGGGCTTAGAGGAAGAGCTCCAGGAGAAAGCGAAAAAGAAAACGAAACGAGACACAGAAGCGAAACCACGAAGCCGTGAGCAAATCTTGTGTCGCGTAGAGTCTGGACAGAACAGCCCCGGCAAGTCTCACGTATAACGTAAAATCCTTTAGGCGCTCCGTTTCTTTTCGACCTGTGAGAAGCTCGTTTCTTGTGAAGGGACCTGCTTGAGATACAATTCTTCACAAGCTGGCTTCATTCTCAAAGATCTCCCGTCAGGAAGTTCTGGCTGAAGGGGACATGGCAGAAGCACGGAAGTTCTTGGAGGAAGAATTAGCTACTCAGAAGAAGCTGGTCGTGTTCAATTCTTCACTCTTGTCTTGTTTATTCTACAGTTCCGTGCTTTTACTGGATCCATTATCCGACAGCATCCAAGCATGCAGCATACGTGTGGTAAGTATGTAACAGTAGATCCCGCACAAAGCAGAGGGAATCTAAAACATGTTCGCCGTGGTGAGGTGCACTGTGAGATTTGCGATGACAGTTGTCGATGTTTGTGAAGATTCTTCTTTGATTCTTCTGACACTTTCGGTTTTCGCTTCGCGTCGTTACCAGATCGCTCAAACCGTCTAATATCGTGAAAGGACTGGCCACGACAAGCCAGCCTGTACATGGCCCCCATTCCCGTCTATCGCTAGAGTCTGTTCAAAAGACACCAATCCGCCCGCACAGAAGGTGCTGAAGGATTAAACTCTGACCGTGCGGTCATTGCTTTATAGCTTTAGCTGGGGTTTGGGAGCAAAAATGCATATTCTGAGGTGTGTTTCGGAGAGGAGTGTGAGTGGGAGAAAACATGGAAAAACTGATGGTTTAATATATGTATATATACACACCAGGATGTCTGACTGTATTTATCATTGTCGTTTCATTTGCATCACCACATCCATGAAAGACAAACAAACAACTCCTCTCAACAGTCTTTGTCTTGATATAACTCTCATGACTGCGTCATATGCATCAGCTGGTTGCAATTTTTTATTATGGTAGTATACGCATCCTGGCTGCAAATGCGCAATTTATTGTACAGTACAAAATGCTGGCAAATCACCATGATTTGGGCCACCTGAAAAATGTACAATTACTCTACTTCGAGTGATCCCCACCATGACATTTCAAAACAGCCACGTTGACATCACCCTCGTTGTGTATTTCAGCCCATAGCACAAGTCCTTCAGCGCCAAGTCTTACTGTTTTGTCCGAAGCGAATGCTTTCATCAGGAGACCTGTGCCCAACAGGTCATTGAGATCATTGGGCGGCCCAAAACTGGAAAACTTCCGGGGCCCGAGCAGTGGTGGTAGTAGTAGTAGTAGTAGTGGTGGTGGTAGTAGTAGTAGTAGTGGTAGTGGTAGTAGTAGTGGTAGTAGTAGTAGTGCGGTGGTAGTAGCACTAGTAGTGCGCAGTTCGGGGCCCGAACCTTGCAAACCTCCGGGGCCCTAGTAGCAGTAGTGGTAGTAGTAGTAGTGGTAGTAGTGGTAGCAGTCGTAGTAGTAGTAGTAGTAGTAGGAGTAGTAGAACTAGAAGTCGAAGTAGAAGTAGAAGTAGTAGTTGTACTAGTAGTAGTATAGTAGTAGTAGTAGTCGTAGTAGTAGTCGTAGTAGTAGTAGTAGTAGTAGTAGTAGTGGTAGTAGTAGTAGTAGTGGTAGTGGTAGTAGTGGTAGTGGTAGTAGTAGTAGTAGTGGTAGTAGTGGTAGTAGTGGTACTAGTGGTAGTAGTGGTAGTCGTAGTGGCGGTGGTGGTAGTAGTAGTGGTGGTAGTAGTAGAAGTAGTAGTGGTGGTGGTGGTAGTGGTAGTGTTAGTGGTAGTGGTAGTGGTAGGGGTTGTGTGTTTGTGGTTGTGTTTGTGATTGTGTTTGTGGTTGTGTGTTTGTGGTTGCGTTTGTGATTGTGTTTGTGGTTGTGCTTGTGGTTGCGTCTTTGTCGCTGTGGTTTTGGTTGTGTTTGTGGTTGTGTGTTTGTGGTTGCGTTTGTGATTGTGTTTGTGGTTGTGCTTGTGGTTGCGTCTTTGTCGTTGTGGTTTTGGTTGTGTTTGTGGTTGTGCGCTTGTCATTGCGTGTTTGTGGTTGTGGCTGTGGTTGTGTGTTTGTGGTTGCGTGTGTTTGTGGTTGTGTGCTTGTGGTTGTGTGTTTGTTGTTGTGTGGTTGTGTGTTTGGGGTTGCGTGTTTGTGGTTGTGTTTGTGGTGGTATGATTGTGGTTGTGGTTGTGTGCTGTGGTTGAGGTCCGGCAGGGAATACTGGGCGTGGATGGTCGCTGTTGGGGTCCGGCGGAGGAGGAGGAGGACGAGGAGGCGGAGGAGATGGGGCTGACGTAAAATCTAACAATCCTCACCTGACAGGTGGGGAGTTTCAAGGGGGTCGAAAATATATCAAACAATGCTTACAAACAATTTGTAAGAGGGTCCAACAATAAAATGATGATTTTAGAGGGAACTAACTAAAGAATCTGTAAGTTGGTCCAAAATTAGAGTGGTTATATATAGAATGTTATAGACACTTCTTTACATGTTATTCATCCACTTCATGCTGCGTTCATCTCTCAGATTTTTGTCGGTCATGCGCATTGTATAGTCTATTGTATACATTCATTCTATTGCGCGACCCTCTTGAAATTGTACCTTTTTTCCAGGTGTCCAAATTTCATTCATGTGCAAGCATTGTTGTATATGGTACAATTTGGACTCTCTGAAAGATGTACAATTTCAAGGGACACAAAATGCATCCAACGATGCTTGCAAGTTGCAAGTAAGACATAACCAAACACAAATTATGGCGTCCAAAAATAGAGTGATTATAGACAACGTTTATTTTCCTCATCCACTTCACTTCATGCTGCGCTCATCTTTAACAATACACACGGTATAGTTTATTGATCATAATCATTCCATTCTTGACTCCCTTGACAACGTACAATTTCAAGGTGCCGAAAAATAGATCCAACAATGCTTGCAAAATGCAAGTAAAACATAGCTAAACATTTCTATTGGGGATCCAAAAATAGAGTGATTATAGATATAATATATATATATATATTGAAAGGCTTACGCCTAACAGCCGGGCGCCGGCCCCCTTGGGTCTGCGGGCCGTATGTCACGCCTATGTTGGCCTTGGTGGGGCCTACATTGAGCAAAGTTAAGCTATCTGGCGCGCATCTTCGCCCTAGGTTGGGCCAAGTTGCGCCCATGTGGTCTATGTTGGGCACATCTTGGGCCAATGTCGAGCCTATGTTGGGCCTATGTTGGCCTAGGTTAGGCGTACGTTGGCCTAGGTTGGGCCTATGTTGGGCCTAAGTTGGCGTATGTGCAACCGATGTTGTCCTATGCTGGCCCTATGTTGAGCTATCTTGGGCAGATGTTGGGGATATGTTGGCTATCTTAAGCCCATGTTGTGGATATGTTCGACGATTTCTGTTCAAGACATGCTCCGAGACATTTTTTGGCCGATTTTTCCTTCCCGTAAAGCAAAAACCCAGCAAAAACCGACGTTTTTTGACATCGCCAAGATGAAATTCTCGGCCGCCCACGGGCCCAAAACCCTGTAAAACGCAGTGTTTTTTATACCTCACACACACGAAACCCTGTAAATTACGTTGATATCAGTGACCCGGTCGTCCCCCCGTTTTGGTCCCAAGGGTCGGTCGGCGGCAGCCGGCGCGCCCGTCTATAACCTTCGGTTACCACCGAAGGCCCTCCGGGCAGGGCGCGGGCTTCGTGGCCGGCGCCCGGATTATGAGGCTTACGCCTGACAGCCGGGCGCCGGCCTATTTGGGTTTGGGTATGTGCAGGGCTGGGTCCTCTCTCTCTCTCTCTCTTTTTGAGACTTGGTGGGGCCTATATTGAGCCAAGTTAAGCTATCTGGTGCGCATCTTGGCCCTAGGTTGGGCCAAGTTCATCTTGGGCCCAAGTTGAGCCTATGTTGGGCCTAGGTCGGCCTATGTTAGGCCTATGTTGGCTTAGGTTGGGCCTATGTTGGCGTATGTTGGCCCCATGTTGGCATATGTTGGCCCTATGTTGAGCCATCTTGGAGGCTATGTTGGGCATATGTTGGCTATCTTGGGCCTATGTTGGGGAAATGTTAGGCAACTTCTGTGCCCAACACCCACATCATGCGCAATCATGCTGGTAGATAAAATACAAATAACATAAAAATCCGTCAAAAATCTGTCGACACGCTTCGGGCGGGGGTATCCCCGCGGTCCAACAAAAGGGTCGGCGGCAGGGGCGGCGAGCGTATATAACCTTCGGTTACCAACCGAAGGCCTCCGGCAAGGACACGGGCCCGTGGCCGGCGCCCGGATTTACCAGGCTACCGCCTGCAGCCGCCGACCCCCCAAGGGAAAAGCTAGTGGCAGGGCCTTAGACCTTACCTCTAGCCTTAGCTTTAGCCTGAGACCTTAGCCCTAGCCTTTAGCTTTAGCCTTAAGCCTTACCTCCCTTACCTCTCCGGACCCTTGTTGCAGTGACGAAAGCCGGCGCGATTGCGACGTGGATTGTCCAAGATTTTGCCATCCCAATTGATTTACATCTTGTTTTTTTCGTAGAAGGGAGTTGTAGGATGTGAAAGGTTGTTTTGGGTTCCCAGGTTTGGTTAGAAAATTGCTAACCTATTTTTTTCCATTGTTGTACTCATGCCTTTCATGCGCTGGACGAGGTCCGGCCAGTGCCCGTGGTAACGTGAAAGGCTCTGGTAAGATTTTCGCATGCCTGTCAGGCGCCCGTGTCCGCGCCATGTGGCGTGTTGGTTCTAGGACGGAGCAGTGCAAACGGAAGCTTGGGCAGGTGGTGGCGAGGTTCTCGCGCCAGCGAGGGAAGAGACCGTAGCCATGTACACGAGGGCAGCACGCGCGCGTGGCGGAATGTCTGCAGTGCGGTAGGCCGGGGGGGGGGGGCGGAAGGGTGTGGAAGTGGGTGGTTCCACGGTAGGAGGAAGGACGTTGCTCTGGATGTGGGGAGGGTAGGGTTTGCTGGAGCACCCCTTGAGCAAAATGCAGGAGCCGAGAACAGCCCCCGTCACCCGAGGCAGCCGGTGTCTTTGTTATGCGTTTCCTGGGGGAGAAGGGCGCTGCCCATGGTGTTCGCTAAGTCGTGTCAGCCAACGAGGGCGTTGCCCATGTATGTCCCCCTGCGCAGGCCATGGAAAACTGCTCGGTGTAGTTGTCGTGGGCGGAAGACGCCGGCGCGCAGTGTTTTGGCAGGCTGGCGGAAGCCGACGGCTGCTGGAGCTGGACGAGGCGCGCAAGGGATGTGTAGTGGAGTATGGAGTGAAGCTAGGGGATGCAAGCG